AAAAATTAAAGTACTGGAAATAGCAGAAATGGATAGAATAAACATGGAACTGAAGCAGAAATCGGAAGATGACTTTTGGGTAAAATGGGGAAAAATATATAAATGGCTAAACTTAAAGAGAATAAATATTGACGAGAGGTAGGCTAGCTAATAAAAAGAATAGATAGAAAAAATAGAAGTGCAAGCGCATTGTTTGTTTTATATAATCATATTTAAATGTTTAAATATTATGAGCTATGTAAAACAATATTGGATGTTAACTTGGAGAAGTGGAAATGTATATGGGAAAAGTTTGCTTATTAGTAATACAATAATTGTTAAAAGAATCTTAACATACCTGTAAAAATCCAAATAAAAAGATTTATGAAAAAAAAGGATATAACAAGAAGTCCGACATTTAACCATTTCACCGTTTCTTAGTACATCCCTTTTTCCGTTTCCCCTCCCTCCCCTACTTCAGGCTTCCTGCAGCGTTCCCACCCCCACCACGTTTCTTCTCTTAATCTTTCCCTTCTCTTTAACATTATTTACAAGGTCACAATTTCTTTTGCTACCTTACTTATATTTTCCAACCTTATAGGTAACCTATTCGATAACTATTTCTTTCCCACATATCTAAAGTCTGTTCCTAATAATTATTAAAGCAAAAAAGTTTATTTTTAACATCCCAATGTTTCTCCACAAATGTTGGTGTCACAGCCTTGATACATTCCCCCCGTGGAGACCCAGCTCGTACCCTGGCATCCTTGCAGTGCAGTTGTACCGGGAAAGAAGGGTAGAGGCTGTGGCTCAGTGGAAGAGCCTCTGCTTTGCATGCAGAAGGTCGCAGGTTCAATCCCCGGCATCTCCAGTCATAAAAGAAGCAGGCAGTAGGGGATGGGAAAGACCTCCGCCTGAGACCCTGGAGAGCGGCTGCCAGCCTGAGCAGACAATGCTGACCTTGATGGACCAAGCTTGATCTGATTCAGTAGAAGGCGGCTTCATATGTTCAGACAATCGTTCGCATTCCTCATCAGTCGAATTAAACTGTGGTTTCACGGGGCAGCTGGACCACGCCAATCACATAAGACAAAACCGCAGGTGAAAATGATAGACGCGCCCTTGTAACGTGCCTTGTAACGTGCTTCTGGGGTGGTGGTGGTGGTGGTGTTTCTGGTTTTCTGGAGCCAGATTTCGGATTTGCCCAGCACATGTCCCCGTGGGACGAGAAGCACGTGCTGAGGGGTTCTCCGCTTTACATGGCTCCCGAGATGGTGTGCAGGAGGCAGTACGATGCCCGTGTGGATCTCTGGTCTGTGGGAGTGATCCTCTATGGTAAGTTAAACTCAGGGGAAGGCCTCGGCCTCTGTGCCCTGTTGTTGGCCCTCCAGAGGAACTGGTTGGCTGCTGTGTGTGACAGGATGCTGGGCTAGATGGACCACTGGTTGGATCCAGCAGGGCTGTTCTGATGTTCTTATAAAGTCCTTGGCCTCTCTGCCCTGTTGTTGGCCCTCCAGAGGAACTGGTTGGCCACTGTGTGAGACAGGAGGCTGGACTAGATGGACCACTGGTCTGATCTAGCAGGGCTCTTCTGACATTCTTATGAAGGCCTCGGCCACTATGCCCTGTTGGCCCTCCAGAGGAACTGGTTGGCCACTGTTTGAGACAGGATGCTGGACTAGAGGGACCAGTGGTCTGATCGAGCAGGGCTGTTCTGATGTTCTTATGAAGGCCTCAGACTCTCTGCCCTGTTGTTGGCCCTCCAGAGGAACTGGTTGGCCATTGGGTGAGACAGGAGGCTGGACTAGATGGACCACTGGTCTGATCCAGCAGGGCTCTTCGGATGTTCTGATGACTGTTGTGAGACATTAGGCTGGTCAGGATTTGCTCTTGAGATGCTGATTGTCACAGCTTGTGTTAGGCGCCCCCCCCCCATTCTTAACAATAATGTGGTGTAGTGGTTAGACTGGGATCTGAGAGGCCCAGGTCTCTCAGTCTGCTGTGGAAATTCACCGGGCACCCTTGGGCCAGCCACACGCTCTCTGCCTCACCTGCCTCACAGGATTGTTCTGAGGTTAAAATGGACTGGAGGAGAATCATGTCAGCGGGTCACACGCTCTCGGCCTGACCTACCTCGCAGGAGTGTGGTGAGGATAAAATGGAGGAGAGGAGAATGACGCGAGCCCCTTCAGGTCCCCCGCTGTGGAGAATGGTGGGGTAGAAACGAAGGAAATAAACAAGAGTCTTACCATGGGGGTTTCTTTCCCACCCTAGAGGCCCTGTTCGGGAGACCCCCCTTTGCTTCCAAGTCATTCACCGAGCTAGAGGACAAGATCCGCAGCAATCAGCCCATCGAGGTAAGCAGTCGGGGCGCCGGCCGAGGCTTCGGTTCAGCTTTGGGGTTCCTCGTCAGGGGAGCCACGGCCCGGTTCAGGCCTGTGGCTCAGCTGCCCTCCCTCTTCCTCTCCTTCCCACGACACCGGCCGGTTTGGTGTAGTGGTCTGGAGCACAGACTCTAATCTGGGAGAGCCGGGTTTGATTCCCCGCATTTCCACATGCAGCTGCTGGTGTGACCTTGGGTCAGTTGCAAGTTCTCTTGGAGCTGTTCTCTCAAGGGCAGTCCTCG